AGAAAGAAAGAAAGAAAGAAAGAAAGAAAGAAAGAAAGAAAGAAAGAGAGAGAGACGGAGGGAGGGAGGGAGGGAGGGAGGGAGGAAGGAAGGAAGGAAGGAAGGAAGGAAGGAAGGAAGGAAGGAAGGAAAGAAAAGAAAAGAAAACAGAAAAGAAAAAGAAATCTTTTTTCTACAGATTGCTCCCGTTATATAAATGAACATCCTTCTAAATAAGCATTAAGTCTTCTGGGACCTGGAGAGACCGCTCAGTGGTTAAGAGCTCTTCCGGAGCCGCCAGGTTCAATCCCCAGTACCCACACAGCTGCTTACAACCTTTTGTAAGTCCAGTACCAGGAAATCTGACGCCCTGTCCTGGCCTCTCTTAGCATCAAGCACACATGGTACATAGACACACATGCAGACAAAATACCCATATACATAAAATAAATACATCTAAAGAGAAAAACAGCTGGGCGCCACGGCGCACACCTGTAATCCCAGCACTCAGGGAGGCAGAGGAGGCAGATCTCTGTGAGTTTGAGGCCAGCCTGGTCTACAGAGTAAGTCCAGGACAGCCAAGGCTACCCAGAGAAACCCTGTCTTGAAAAACAAAAACAAAACAAAACAAAAAGCTAAAACAAAGTTAAAAAACAAACAAAAAATGACCAAAGCTCACAGGCATGGAATTAGTTGAATAAACAAATCATCTAATTAAAAAATAATAATAACTAAGTGTCCCTCTGGGGTCCAGGAGCATGGTACAAGCAACTCTGTAACCTCAAATTCACCAAAAAGATGTTGGTGAGAGAGCAGGGAAGGCAAGGGTGAGTCAGTAAATCACAGGGCAGAAGAGACATGGGGTGAAAGCAAGGGCTGATAATACGTGGGTGTGAAAGCATGGCGTCTAAGGGTAAATTGTGGGGTCTCACAGGCACAGATCGGGTAAAGGCATGGAGTTCTCCATCCCTTGTCTCATCTGTATGTGCACAATGATTGCAAAACTCAGGGAATCAAGCCAGGGTTTTGGCCTGTGCTGACACAAGAGCTGCCAAGTGGTTTCTTGGCCCCTCCAACTCACCCTGTCCCAGCTAGTCCAACAGAGGACACAAACCCCCAGTGGACCCAGGTGTCCCAGCCCACGACTCTCAGGCCCCCATGCCCTCAGAAGGCTGAGTGGTCCTGGCCCCTGGGGCCGCCTGCCACAGTGATTTATGTCCCTGTGAGCCTCAGCAGCTGTGAGCTAAGGTCCCACCGGGCAGCCGGCTTGGGGGGCAGCAGTCTTTGCTTCTCAGCGTGTCTAATCCAGACCAGACTTACAGACCCCATGGGTCTGGGGTCAGGATCCCAGGAGGCCAGGGTCAGGGGACAGGCCAGCAGGGCCTGGAAACTAGGAGTCACAGGCTAGAAGCAAGAGCTCCAGTCTGATTTAGGTTGGCTATCGCTTCTGTGTGATCCAGGATGGGTGTCTGCCCTCTCTGAGCCTTGCTATGCCTCACTGAGAGCCTGCACACAGCGAACTAGAAGGGCTTTGTCAACTGAGACAGATCTATCTTAGACTGGTAAGATAAGGCACCATTTTTATTTTATCTCAGAGTAGGCTCCCATATAGCCCAGGCTGGCTCAGAACTCACATGCAGACTGGCCCCTACCAACTGAGCCACATCTCCTAAGAGTTGATTTTGGTTTTGTTCTGAACGGTCACATCATCTGTTCTTGTTGTTTGTCTGTGTTTTGTTGTGTTTTAGGGCTGCTATCTCTTCCTCAATCTATGCTCTTGCCATCAAACAATCACATACCTGGTTTAACAAGCTTGCACGACATACACCATTG